TAAAGCCTTGGACACTGTCTAACTACAGGGAGGCGACAGCCACAGCCTCTCCCCCATCCCCTAGGCAGCTCACCTGGTCATAGAAGGACGTCAGGTTGGTCAAGCAGGACGTGCCTTTCATGAACCCGTGCTGGCTGGATTCACCCTTTACTCTCTTTTTTTTTTTTCCCAACCAACACCACTAAATTTTACCTTCACAGAACCCGCTAGCTTCATTCAGGACAAGAGGTTCTACAGCACTTTCAGAGCACATACAGGGGCAACTCCATTTTAGAAACATTGTACCTCCTTTTAATTGAAAATGTTGGTGTTGATCATTTCCCCACAGTGGCTTTAAAAGCAAATACTTAGTAAACAGTCAGAACTCCACAGCAAGTTTGTATTTGCACAATCTCTTCAGAAAACATTTTGATAAGCAAATTGGTTGTGTTTCTCAAGGTAGTTTCCCAGTTATCTCCTTTTAATGTAAGTGCTGATGAAAGACACCAATTTTCCAAGTAGCTAATATGAGCTAATTTTGTTTTCTCTTTACATGAAAGAAGAAATGTGACTGGGTAATGAGGAATAAAGAGAGCGATTATCCATCCTGCCCTTCCTCTATGTATACTCTCATCTGACATCCTTCATTAGTCCACTGGCAGGCTTTATGGATTTCCACACATACACATCTCGCTCATTCACATCTTTAGTGACTCCACATTGATAACTTATTTATTACTGGGACTCTTGATTGGTAACTAACATAACAGCACTGTAAATTAAGGAAAAAAAAAAAACAAGAACTTAAAACTAGTATTTGTGATTAACAAGCCAAATCACCAGCTCATCTTTGTACAGCCTGCTTCCAGCCCCATACCTTGTCTACCACTCCTTCCCCCTACCACTGCCTCCACCTTCCTTTTCAGCACTCTCTCTTCTGCTTTAAAACTACTACCCCAGCTGCAGCCTCCTCTAATAACCCTCAAGATGCTTCCCATTTGGACAAAACTAAATGATTTAATTATAATGCCTACTCTTTTTAAAGAGATCTCTTCTTTTCAGCTCAGGAACTTACTTCAGACATTCCTATGGTTTATCCAAAGAAGGAACATAAAACACTAAAATAAAACACTCTTCCTAAGTCATAGAGATGTTTCTGTTTTGTCAGTTATGATGTCTTTCCCTTTACACTAGTTAAATTCACATTTAACTAGTTTACTTTAAATTTCCACCAATCAAATATTTTAAAGGAACTCCCAACACTGGCACTCACTCATTCATACCCATAAGAACCAGTAATCTGATGAGGCCAGAGAAAATTCCAAAATGCCTTCTCACATCATCTTCTCCAGAACATGCTCCCCAATCTTCCATACATGCCTTAAGTTGCATTACTGAAGTTCAGTGCTGTTCTCTGTGGCTTGTGCACAGCTTAACAGCAAAAACACACCTGGCATCCAAAAAAGTCCCACACACAAACTAGTTTACTTTGAATTTCCACCAATGTGTTTGCTGCTCAGCAAACCCCTCACATACACACATTCGTGCTCTTACAGGGATCTGTTTAGCCACGCCAAGCTGATCTTATTCCTAGGCAAATTTCTGCCATTACTGAAGGCTGTGGAGATGCCTACAAAAAGGAGCAGAGGTTGCCATAGGGAAGGCACATGAAGGCTACTTAGAGTTGGCAGGAAGGGTCACAATAGATTTGAGCTCACTTGGGAAGTAGAGCACAAGTCAAAGTCGTTTGTAACCCACAGCCTTACAGGTGCATTCATTAATAACTACCAGTGAGTTTTCTACTTCTGGTCCAGCCTCCTCATGCCTTTCTTGTATGTCTTCTTTCTTTAGTTAACCTTATTGCTTGTGCAATACTTGTGACAACATACCCTGCCCTTTGCTACCATATAGCAAACAACAGTATCGGTATTCCTAGGGAAATTTTCAAGTAATTAGGTGTCCTTCTAACTCATTATCTGATGAACATACTTGAAAAACGAACATGAGTGTGCACTATACCACCAAGTAATTTCAAAAGTAATTCCTTGGAAAGATGCCATATTTGGCAAAAGAGCTCCCTTTCAATAACCATTAGTATACTCATTGCCAATATAACACACTGGACTAGAAGGCGTTCAGAGTGACAAGACAGCTGCCTAATAAGCCCTCCTAAACCCTGAGCCTGTTACTGCTTTCTCTGGTTAAGTGGAAAAGGGCTTGTATGAAGTTTAGAAAGCTGCATGTCAAGTGGCTCACAGCAGAGCTCAATGGAGCACACCCTGGCCTCCAATATCAGCCTTTTTCTTTTAGACTTGACACAGGGGTTGATGAAAAATCATCTGAGTAGGCTTCATCAATGAAGAGATCAGAAGAGTTACCCTTTGCTGGGGTTAAAAGAAAATCTCTCCTATCACTCAGTGGTTGCACGTGTGGACAATAACATACATTAATTTTTCTGTCCTGACACAGGGTTTGCTTTGTCTTCATCTCCTGCCACAGAATATGGGAAGCAACAACCTATCATGATTTCCCAATCACAGACAAGCAGATCACATTCTTCGTTTCTGAATCACCAAGAGATCACTGTTAAGTGTTTCCTTTCTAAATTAGGTCTGTCTCTTGCCTTTAGCCGGGAGTGTGTACCTCACACATGAAACTTCATGCAGAAACACACAGCTGCCTCTATCTCCAGACAGGCAGACTGCTCCTTTGGCTTCCATTCAAGTGCCTACTCATGTTTTAGTTAGTAATTCTTCTCTTCAAAGTTAGATCTTGGAACTCTTCTCCATCCCAGAGACTCACATCCTTACATTCCTGTGTTGTACAGATGGGGCTGCCAAAGCCATCCCAGTGTCACTGAATGGATTCATATTTATAAACAGTTTTTTCTTTTCTTTTTCTTCTTCTACTTAGATATTCACACCCTACTGCCCAATGCCTTTGGACCAATCACTTTTAGTAGGACTTACACTCCTTAATTACATTAGGAAAGTTCTTAAGCAGTACTTAAGATACCTAAACAGTTCGTCACATAGAGCGTTCTTCCAATGACTCTTCAAATCTCTTTGTCTCTCAAGGGATTGTTAGTACTAAAACAAAAAAATTGCAAATTGTCTTCCCTTCATTCTAACGAGAGTGTCACTCAAGCTACAGAAGGTGCTCTGCACATTAGTAGCAGTTAAGCTATAAAAATGAACTAATATCTGTGTCATGCGAGATGTATTCACGCTTTCAGAAGTGAACACTAACAGAATGGTTATTTTCACTGTAATTTGCTACAGGTCTTCATTCCTATTCTTCCACTTCTGGAAGATCTTACCAGTTCCATCATCTGCATCATTCTGACCAGTCTCCCAAATCTCTGATTTTGTCCCAAAGCCATCAGTGGCAGAAGACTCCGTATAGTCTGCAGGGTTAAACGTCCTAGAGTTTTAAAAGTTAAGAAATGGAAGAGAACACATGGGTCATTCAATGAACACAAGTGTCATCATTTT